CAGTTGATAATTGTCTTCAGCAAAGAAAGCGGATCTGCTATAGCCAATAATATTCTTCAGGTTTTTCCACCATTTGCTGGTTCATTTGCTGAGAAATGATTCTTCAATTTTTCAGTGTAGTTCCTCTTTGCTGTCCTGATCTCCCTTGTTAATATGTTCCTGGCCTGATTGTACAGCATCCTGTCTCCATTTCCATAGGCTTCCTCTTTGACATGATGTAGTGCATGAGCTTAGCTGTGAACCAAGATATATTATTACTGCATATGCACAAACTTTTGGTCAGCACATACCATCTCACAAAAACCAACATATGATGTCACAGTATCAATAAGTTCATCCAATCTGCTGAAGCAGCTTCAAAAACACTTCAGACTGAGCAAGCATGTAACTCCAACTTTGTCTCCTCTGTCCAAGGCTTCACTGTTTTCACCACAGGTTTTGTGGTTTTAAGTTTCTGTTTATAAGCAGGTACAAGATGAATCATAACAATGATCAGGGGTCCACAGCTGCTCTTGGTAGAGAGTGATTAACCTTCTTTAACATGGAGTAGCAGTGGTTTAAGATGTTATTTCTTCTAGTGTAACAGCTGACATGCTGAGTATATCTGGGCAACTCCTGATTTAGACTAGCATTGTTAAAATCCCCTAAAACAATGAATAGAGAGAATGGATATCTGTTCTGTACACTGGATTTGGTCAGCTAAGGTTTACAATGCATTGCTTACACAAGTGCGGGGTGGTATATAAACCTCAACTAAGATACATGAAGAGAACTCTCATGGGGCATTTAAAGCTTTGCAATTAATGAATAGTCAATTAAGTCCACATCAAAAAATTTCTTTAGTACACTAACATTTTGCACCAGTGATTTTTAACATAGAAGCAGATACCCCCTCCTTTCTTTTTTCTGAATGTCTTGGCAACTCTGCCTTTTGGATCTGAAATTACTGTTTTATAAATGACTGTCTTCTATTGCCTCACTTAGTCAAGTATTTGTAAAGCAGAGAAAAACTGAGTTAGAATTGATCTGATTTAAAAGACGCAAGTCATCCATCTTTTTTACTAGTGAGTGAGGATTTGTTGGATGAAGCGAAGGAACAGACGTTCTTACCCTCTTTTTCTTAGTCTAATGAGGACACCTGCTTGCTTCCCCTTCCTCTTCCTGTGCTTCCTTTGTCTTGTCCTGCTGTTGAAGAAAGCTGCAGTTCCTCTTATCAGAATATCCACACAGCTTCCCACTGTGTTTGTAAAAACATTAGGAAAAATATTCCTAGAAAGTTGATTGATATTCAGAAGCTCATCTTTGGTGTATGTAATCCGCAGTGAGAGAGAGAAAATGACAAAAAAATCAACACTATTAAAGAGCATTTTGCTGAGGCTACCATCAACAGTGCCATCTTGAGTTTTTTTGTAGATCTTCCAATGCACCATCATTGTTAGCAATAATAGCACTTAGACTTATATAGCATTTCACAGCCCTCTCCAAGTGGTTTACAGAGTCAGCACATTGTTCCCAACAATCTGGGTCCTCATTTTACCGACCTCGAAAGGATAGAAGGCTGAATCAACCTTAAGCCAGTGAAGATTGAACCCCTGGAAGTTAGCAGAATTAATTTGCAATGCTGCATTCTAACTACTGTGCCACCACACCTCTAGTTTGTCATGCACTCTTTTGCAGTCAGTCTGTGCAATCTTCTTACAGCAGCTAATCACTCGGAGGTTTTTTTAAGCTTCTTTACAGAGATAGCATTTGTCTTCTCAACTATGGCCTTGTATTAATTTGTTCTTAAGACTTGGAGTTTTGTAGCCAGAATTAAGCCCTCTGTCTCTTCAATTTTACTGTTTTTAGCCATTGTCAGGACTTGTTATTTGCTTTGCCTGCTATTTGTTTTAATGTATTGGCTATATACTACTTTGCCTTCCCATGACTGCTGCAAATAATTTTGAAACAGAACCATTTGTTACAGGTAGTCCTCAAGTTATGAGAGCAAATGGAAGCAAAATTCCCAATTCCAAACAATGTGGTCATTAAGATGAAATGTTCCACGATTGCATTGCTCAATGATGGCAATCAGGTTGCTGTCATAATCCTAAAACCACAGAAGACATTAAGCGGGAAGAGGAAACTGCAGACATTAAGCGGGAAGAGGAAACTGCAGGCAAATGCTTGTGAGCACAAAAAGATACACTGGTGCTGCAGGCAGTTGCTATGGATGGTGGGCAAAAAAGTGGTGAGAATGGGAGCCAGCTTACATTGACTTTGCTTCTGGGAAGCCAGCAGGGAATATTGGAAATTGTGATCATATGACTGTGGTTCACTGCAATATCAGAACAGTGAGCAAGGTATTGATACCTTGTATTCATGTGACCACAAAGACATTACATCAGCCAGAACTCCAAGAACTGGTCATAAATCCTCCTTTATTTAGCCCCTTTGTAACTTGTCACAATTGAATGCCAAATACTTACTGGAAAACTTCTATGTAAGTAAGAAATGAACATATGGGCAGTTTTCCTTGTTTGAACAGAACCTAAATACAGTTGTATAGAAATTAGTTCCATTACACGTGCACTTGAATTAACACATATACCATCAACTCTTTAACTTGCAGTGGAGAATGACAAAGCTTAAGCACACGCTGCAAAAATGTAGAATGCAATTCTCAGTATATCTGAGAGTTGCTTAATATGGTAATTATTAATTTGTCCCCTCTTTCACACAATTAGATAAATATTTATCTTATCACTTATACATAATACAAGTTTCAAAAGAGAAAAGATACTGTGCATTCAGAAAGTATTCAGACCCCCTTCACTTTAATCAATTTTATTATGCTGCAGTCTGATTCTACAGTTGAAATTGTTGGAAGGAAAATCCATCTGGTTCAGTTCCAAGTTGGGAGAAAGACGCTGGAAATAATATGGAGGCCGATTGAAAAGAAAGACACTGTTTATTAAGAGCAGAACCAACACATACACAGCTTGCAGCTGACCAAATGGTTGAATGAGTGGATGGAACTTTGTAGGTTTATGTGCCTTTGAAGTTTGAACTGTTCTGGGGGTTATGCAATGAAGGGGCTTGTGTCTTTTGCTAAAAGATGGAGGATTAATCCTATTATGTCCTAAAATATCATGCTCTGTCCTTCTTAATCCCATCACCCTGGAGCTGAAGACATTTTGTTTATGAATAGATTGGCCCAGATTTCTTAATGGGCACAAATATCCATTTATAAAGATTTCTTGCATCTGCTAGAGGCTGTTTTACTATGCAGGAAGTTCTATTTCTCCTTTGGGGAAATATAATATCCTGCCTTTTTAATATTCCCCAAAATATTTCATTCTCTGGGAAGGTAAGTGGGTGCTGACTTTCTACAAAATTCTTTTTTAAAAAAATTAATCTACACTCAGTACTCCATAATGACAAAATGAAAACAGAATTTTAGAAATGTCTGTACATTTATTAAAAAGAAATAAACTGGCATAATTGGCATAAATATTCAGACCCTTTGCAACAACTCTTGAAATTTAGCTCAGGTGCCTCCCATTTCACTCGATTGTTGCTGGCATGTTTCTATACCTTGATTGTAGTCAACCTGTGGTAAATTAAATTGATTGGACATGATTTGAAAAGGCACACACCTTTTTATAGAAGTCTTCACAAATGACAATGCATAGTATAGCAGAGGAAAAGCCATGAGGTCGAAGGAACTGCAGAGCTCAGTGACAGGATTATTGTAAGGCACAGATCTGGGGAAGGCTACAATAAAATTTGTGCTGCACTGAAGCTTCCTAAGAGCACAGTGGCCTCCATAATTCTCAAATGGAAGAAGTTTGGTACAACCAGGATTCTTCCAAGAGCTGGTTACTTGGTCAAACTGAGCAATCAGGGGAGAAGGGCCTTAATATGAGAGGTAACCAAGAGCCCAATGGTCGCTCTGACTGAGCTCCAGAGATCCTGTGTTGAGATGGGACAGAATTCCAGAAGGACAACCATCACTGCAGCCCTCCACCTCTCTGGTCTTTATGGCAGAGTGGCTAGGCAGCAGTCTCTCCTCAGTGCAAAACACATGAAAGACATGGAGTTTGCAAAAAAGCACCTGAAGAACTCTCAAGACTGTGAGGAACAAGATTCTCTGGTCTGATGAAACCAGCATTGAACTCTTTGGCCTCAATTCTAAATATTATGTTTGGAGGAACCACGCACTGTTCATCACCTGCTCAAGATCATCCCAACAGTGAAACATGGTGGGGGTAGCATCATGCTATGGGAGTGTTTTGCAGCAGCAGGCTCTTGGAGACTGGTCAGGGTTGAGGAAAAGCTGAATGGAGCGAAATCAGGGATATCCTCAATGAAAACCTGTTCCACAGCGCTCTGGACCTCAGATTGGGCCAAAGATTCACTTTCCAACGTGATAACGAGCTAAACACACAGCCAATGCAACACAGAAGTGGCTTAGGGACAATTGTGAATGTCCTAGAGTGACCCAGCCAGAGCTCTGACTTGAAGCTTATTGAACATCTTTGGAGGGACCTGAAATGGCTGTCCGCCAACAGTTGCCATCCAACCTGACTGATCTTGAGACGATCTGCAAGGAAGAGTGGCAGAAATCTCCCAATCCAGATATGCGAAGCTTGCACATCATTCCCCAAAAGACTCGAGGATGTAACTGCTGCCCCAAAGGTGCTTCAAAAAAGTACTGCTTGAAGGGTCTGAATACTAATGCCAATATATTTCAGTTTTTTTTTCTTTTTTTAATAAATTTACAGATATTTCTAAAAATCACTTTGTCATTATGGGGTACAGATTAATGAGAAAAAAAATGAATTTCAACAACTGTAGAATCAGACTGCAGCATAACAAAACTGACAAAAGTGAAGAGGATCCGAATACTTTCTGAATGCACTGTATATTTTAGAAACTTGTTACAGTTCCTTATATTTTTATCACTGATTCAGTGCATATCAATTAGATGGACAAATTATAGTGAAAAGTAAGTTTACCATCCTGAAAAACTCGCTCCACATTCAGCCCATACGTAGCACAAGTTTCATAGTAGATACATCTCTTCAAATCGTTGGATAGTTTCCGTGCTCTAGTATCATCAATGACCCGAGGATTATTCGAACTTATAGCATCTGTAAAGAAAACAAGGCATTTTTGTTTCAGAAAGTTCTTAAGGTCATGTTCCTTATTTTGCAGGGCCATTTGAAATTTTGAGAATACCTCACAAAATGTCTGCCGTAACAAATATGGTCAATAATTAGTACCCATATAACAGAATGCAACTAAAATGCTTGTTGACACAGTCAAATTTTGAGGATATCCGAAAGGACATCCAGGATAAGACCGGTCTTACCTCAGGGGAGGTGTTCTACAGGGTGGGTGTTGTGGCAGAACATAGGATCTCCTGAGTCCTGCCAGGTTTATCTAATTAGTGAACAGGAGCTGCAATATAACCAACTTGATGGGATGGGCATATGTAATCAAGAAGCAGTTCCTCAAATAACCCAGGTTACTACTACTATTATCATTACCATCATTAGGGCAAGGATATCTATAACCTAAAATATTAGAAATATGCAAAAATGTATTATCTTAGAATCGTTTAAATATGACCAATTAAACAATAATATAACATTTAGTATTTTTAGATTTTTAAAAATTGAGTGCTATTTTCAGAAAAATTGCCAAGTTAGATTTTTGCCTTAAAAGCCATGTTTTTGTTTAAAATATGTTTTGCTCCCTGCAAGTTTCCCACAAGGAAATATAATGGGGAAGCCAACAGAACACTGGCAGTTTGCTCCTACTCCTACTCCTGTTTGACAAACTGTGATCATTCTGTTGTTCTGTTTAAGTAAAGATATAACTCCAAATATGATGATCTAATGAGTCAAGGGTTGCCTAGTCTGTGTATGTGTGTGTGTGTGTATTTGTATTTAATATAGTATAATAGTATATTATACAAATTGTCTGTTATATTTATGAGTTCTCAGGTCATATAAACTTAAGTTCCTTTAGTTTGGTCATTAACCAGCAAATGACATAGTAATAACCTGTGGTGGATAAAATACATCTACCCCATATGGCAAATTCACCAAAACAGACATTTATCATTGAATGATTTTGGTTACAAAATATTGGCCAAAGGGAAATTCATGGATTTGCTAGTGATATGAAAAGGAAAATATATTGATATATAAAATTGCAATATAAAGCAACTATACATACACACATGGGAAGACAGTCAGGAATGGTTTTCAAAAGAGCCATGCAAGTCTATTCGCCTATTCAGAAGGAGGAGCTGTGTAAGCATTTTCATATATTCTAAAGAATTTCTTGAACGATTTCCAAAGCTTTATAGGTACACACCGATAAGAAGATGAATGCTGTTCTTAAGATACAGCTTCATAAAGAAAAGAAGCAAGTAAATTAATGTTTTTCAAGAAATAAATATGGCATAAGAATTACTGCTTACCCTGAGTTCCGACTAGTAACATTGGGATTTCATTAGCATTACGATAATTTGCCATACGGCTATAATAGTGGTACACTGTCTGGAAGCTAATTTCATCCTCAAGGCTGAAGACAAAGATAACGGCATCCACCCACATGGCAAACTGTAGAAAAAAATTAAAACAAATCCTTAAAATAGAGGAAATCTGATCTGAATATCAAGTCACACACTTTAAGATTTAAATGGGTATCAGGTTGTCCTGCAATCAATATTTTGTTAGCAAATCACACTAGTATACAAATTTTATAAAGTCAACTTTCTGAGTTGACTACTTAAGACATGGGGGCGCTATGACCATTAGAAACATAGCATGGCAGCTTTGAGGATCTCCTCCCATGAACTGAATATATATATGCAGGTATAGAAGGCACTTTTGACGATCCAAAGCTGCAGTAGCCTGTATTCCATTCCAGACAAATCTTTTCTTGAAAATCTTCAGCACTGAAGCAACCACTATTCTGGGAGACAAGTTGTTCCCTGACTAACTGTTCTCACTGTCAAGAAAGTTCCAGGTTGGATCTCTCTCTGATGCAAAGTTGCTTTTTGTCCTTGCTCAGGTGTTTGGTGAATAAATTAACCCTCTGTTCCCTGTGATAGCCCTTCAAATTGGAAGACAGCTAACATGTCTAAAGAGTTTTCTTCATTAGGCTAAACATATCTAGTTCCCTTAGCAGTTCTTAGTACAGTATAATTTAGCTTCTACACCAAGAGTGTCAAGCTCAAGGCCCACGGACTAGATCTGGCCCACAGGGTGTTTAGATCAGGCCCATGGGGCCGGCCTGGAAATAGCAAAGGACTGGCCTGGGATGCCTCTGATAAAAAAAAGGGGCGGCGGGGGGGGGGGCGTGTGCATCTCCCCCCCAGGCAGCCCATTTTTGGCCTGGATGGCCTCCTGTAAAATCCTGCAGCAATCACAATTCCCTCACTAACCTGCTTTTCTGCTCCATTTCCAGCATTTAGGGAAACAAAAGAAGACCGTGGGACTACCAGTAAAAAAAAATTCAATCAGACCTTCTAACTTTGCGAAATCTTTTTTTCCCCGAGAAATTGGAAGGTCTGATTGCACTTTTTAAAAAAACTGGTAGTCACATGGTCTTCTTTTGTTGCCCTTCACGCAGGAGAATGTGGAAAGCAGGTTGGTGAGGGAATTGTGATTGCTCTGTGATGGGGGTGAGGATTTTGCATTATGATTAGTCTGGGGTGGAGTGGGTGTGAGGATTTTGTATTATGATTGCTCATAATGTAAGTAAGAACCAGAAAAGAGGAATGGAAAAATTCCTATCTGTAGATCAGCGTTTTTCAGTCTTGGCAAGTTTAAGATGGGCGAACTTCATGCTGCCTGCGGAATTCTGGGAATTGAAGTCCATGCACCTTAAAGCTGCCAAAGTTGAGAAGCATGGGTCTACACTAGAGTTTAGGATTTTCCGTTCCTGTTTTATTTAGAGTTTGATGCAATTATGTAAATCAGTTGTGGTTTCCTTAACAAATAGTGATTTTAGACATATGAACCATTACTGGACATTTTGTGAGAAATTAAAAGTTGATCTGGGGCTTTGATGATTAGATATATGGGATTGTGGAAATAATGTAGACAAATGTTAGAGTAAGAGTTTGGTATATTTTTTACTTTTATCTGTAACAAAGGAAGTTGGAAGTCATTATTTTTCAATTTTCCTTCTTTTCCTCTTTCTTTCTGACACTTTCATTCTTTTTCTTTCCTAAGCCTTTTCTTTTTTCAAATCTGTTTTTTATTTGTTTATCCCTTAGCTCTGTATTTTTTTTTTTATGTATGAAGGATCAAAGATTCAGCCATTATAATTTTATATTGCCTGTTTACAGAAATCATATCAAACTGTAGAATGAAGTCCACTGGGAGCCATCTCATATAACACAGGCTCTGAGTCCCTCTAACCCAAAAGTGTTTATCGATAGAAGAGAATATTTGTAGCTCAGGGTTGAACTGTGGGGTCCTTGGTGCTCTCTGAGCTCGATGGTTTTCTTGCAGATGTTTCATTACCAAACTAGGTAACATCATCAGTACTAAAAGGGAGTGGAGTTTGCTCTTATTTTTATATACTAGTGGCTTATCCTGTCAGTGTTGATCAATTGCTTCACAAACAGTATTTTGATTGGTGCTGAGTCTCTAGAACCTCAGGCAGAGAAGGGCTATTCTGCACTCCTCCCTCAAATGTTCTTTAAAATTCAAAGTTTCCAAGCATCCCTTTAGAAACCTCCAACATGCAAACTGTGGTTACTCATCCTAAAATGAATCCTCTTTACCTGGAACTTCAAAGTTTGCTGTTTGCTGGGAAGGTGTGTAGCTAAAAGTCAGTCTACATTTACTCTACATCTGACTTTGGGGATGTTTCTTAATAACCAAACAAAAGTGTACTTTCTGTGCAGTTCACACCCCTTGCTCGCTGGATCTAGATGTCACAAAGCAAAGCCCACATTTTGTAATTAACCACCGTGTCCCGTTTTGGCTGGCAGAGTACTGCAGGAGGCAAAGTGCTGTCATGTCCACTCTGCCTATGCCCCCTGGCCATGCCCCGAACACCACCACCAGCCCTCCGAGGTCAAACACAACCCTGATGCAGCCCTCTATGAAATTGAGTTTGACACCCTTATTCTACATCCATTATCATCTTTGTTGCTATTCTCTGCACTCTTTCTAGGGCCTCAGCATTTTTTTTTTTTGTATCATGCTGATTAGAATTGGATGCAGTATTTTAAATCTGACCTTACTAGTGCTGTATAGAAGTACTATCACCTCTTCTTTTTTAAAATAAATTTTCTATTAATTATATATCTTAGTGCTTAATAAATATCATGTTGTCTGGGTATTTAATTTGCTTAACAATACAGATTCCATTCTTACTTTCCATCCCTTTTTTCCAACCACTGGAAAAATAAGTTCCAAGTTTGATAATATTCTGTGTCTTCTTTCTGTTCTATTTTCAATGTCAGTCTATCCTTTTCTGCACAATCTAGTATCTTCTAAATTATCTCTTCATCTTCTGATGTTTCTTCATCTTTCCAATATTGTATGAAGATAAAATATTTTATATAAAAGTTCTTTCTAAGAAGTTGCCATTGTTAATCTATAGTTCCTTTCCCATAAATTTTGCCATTTCTCTCATTCTATGTTATAGCTAAAGTTTTTTCTCATTGTACCATTGTCTCTTTTATTTGTTCATCCTCCATTTTTAAATTTAGCAAAAAGTTATATACCTTCTTTATTAATTTTTCATCAGAGTTCAACAGTCTTATCAAAAGGTGTTTGTCCCTTATAAAAGCTATACTTTTTCATATCTGTATCATATCTAGATTGCATTTGCCACCATGATAGTATAATGTCCTGTTCTTCAAGCTCTTGCTTCGATTTTAATTTCCGTTCAGTATCCAAAATGTCTTTATATGTCACTATTTTTTTAAAGTTCACCAGATTTGGGTATGTAAAGGCTTCCATCGTTGAGATCCATTCTGGAATTTTCAAGTATATTTTACATTTTACTTTTTCCTATATCGATATTAGTGAGTTTCTTATATAGTGATTTTGAAAGTATCTGGGTTATATTCTTCTCACACCATAGGAAGGCATGCCATCCTAATTCCAAATCATGTCCTTCTAAGTATAACAGTCTTTTGCATCTGAGGGTTATCCATTCTTTTAACCATGCTTGATCACACATGCTTGATAATCTGGTAGTCCAAACCCTCCATTTTTTCAGATTCTTGTAGCTTTTTCAATTTTATTTTTGCTTTTTTTTCCTTGCCAAATAAATTTTAGTGTCAATTTGTTCAAATCATCAAAGAATTTCTTTTCAATTTTTATAGGTATTGTTTGGAACAGGGAAAGGAATTTTGGTAGAATATTCATTTTTATTGTAAAAATCCTTCCTAACATAAAGGTAGGTTTTTCCATTTTTCCAAATCTAATTTTATTTGCTTAAGTAGTTTTATATATAATTGCTTTCTTTTATCCTTGCACATCTTGCTGCTAAGTATATTCCCAAATATTTAACTTTCTTAACTATTTGAAAGTCTACCTTTTCTGACATATTTTCTTTTTGTTTTTGTATAAGGGTTAACTATAACTTTAGTTTTTCTCTCTGTTTATTTTCAGTCCTTCTCCAAACTCCTCTATTTCTGTTAATAGTTTCGGAATTATGTCTAATGGTTCTTCTACAATAAATATCAAATCATCTGCAAACACTTGTAGTTTATATTTTTCCTCTCTTCCCTTGATTTCTGAATTTTGTCTGATATTCCTGTTCAAAACTTCCAAAGTCAATATAAGATAGTGGGCATTCTTGTCTTGTTCCTTTTTTTAAATATTAAAGCTGTCTGTATTGTCCAAATTGGTATAGGGTCTCCTGCTTGATCAGAGGGTTGAACTAAATGGCCTACAAGGTCCCTTCCAACTCTATTATTCTGTTCTGTCTAGCATGACCTGTTTTAACAAACCCATGTTTGCTTCTGATAATCACCTTGCTTGTTTCTAGATGCTCATAAATACACTGCTTGATATTCTTTTCCAGGATATTTCCAAATATTGATGTCAGGCTGGTTGGTCTCTGGTTTCCTAGATCTGCTTTACCCTCTTTTTTTGGAAGACAGGGGACTACATTAGTTCTTTTCCAGTCTTTTGGTAGTACCTCCATGCCTCTAATTAAGTCTCTAGGACTAGTGTAGGGAAAAGGAGATTTTCATTTTGTTTTCAATTCCTCCTTTCCACTTTTTTTATAATTTGTTCTGAATAGATGATACAGGTGTGGTGCTGAAAAGGAAGTCTGTTGAAACCATTTCCTTCATTAATTTCTGTTGCAAATGTTACCCATTCATCTCCAGATTTCAGATTACTACAATAATTAAGCGTAATACATACCTGTGCTTCAGGAGGACCTCCTTCATCTCTAATTAACAATAGATAACTCTGTCCATCAATTACTATCTCTTTCTTGAATCTTCCACCTGTCATAGAAAACAATCGATTAGAGAAATCAAGGTTTTACCTGAAATAAAAATTGCTCTGAGTGCTTGAAAAATGCTATAGTAATTAAAATTTTAAGGTTTCTAGTGAATGCTATAAAAAAGACAAAGTAGAAAAATCATATATACTTTTGTAGGTCAACCTACTTCCTATTTTTGTCTTAACTACTTGACAAAAATTAACTTTACATTTGGATCCAAATATTTGATAAATGGTAAAAATTAGTTTAAAGCAATAGCTTCTAATTTTATTTTTAAAAGTCTAATTTTATAAAGCAAAATATGCATTATAGAAATGGTTTCTTCTCTTTTTTTTTCTGTCACCAGATCATTATAAAATTATAATGGGTCAAATCAGAGCTAATACAATGGAACTTAAATCCTACAAGCCCTTCAAGATTCATCTTTTGTCAGTAGAATGACAAGTAAACTTGAGGACTCAGAAGGCTTACGGCCAATTTTAATGCTCCATGAATTACAACTATTTCTGCAGAAAAACAAATGTGTTTCAGTAGATCATGCACTAAGCAGTTTCCTATTTAGTTTTTTGTGCTATTTGTTAATAATATTATAAACAATGTGAAAGCTTCAGCTAGTGAAGCATATGACAATTCAATTCATTAGTGATTATGTTTATAGTCCCAAATAATCAGTAAACTCAATACCTCAAAAAATACTTAAAATTAATAGAGTCTATGTTCAACAGGTAAGATCTGTCAAATAGCTCACTTATTCTCTTAATCCAATTAGAACAATATACGCTGTCCTTCACATATTGAAGTGGAGGGACATCAAATTAAATTCAGCTCACAAGTGGATTAGCCCATTTGACTTATTTAATCTCATTGTTTAATTTTGGGTTTAATTTTTGCCAAAATGAAAGAATTTCCATTCTTGGAAATCAATGCAGCTTGCATATTTTGAACACAGTGAGGGTTAAAGAGTGTCAATATAATGCTTTCATTGTGCTCTTGGACTGGGATAGGAATATCAGTTCTGTCTGGTTTGGCTTGGTGCCTCACAGGCCTCCTGCCATCAAAGGATGGGAGGGGGAAGGCTGGAGGGACAATAAAGCTGCGTGTGTATGTGATGGGAAATCAGAAGGGGGCAATGATAGGTGATAAAGATCAAAGTAGCTGGATCCAGTTTGTACTAGCATCCCAAGGTCAGGCTCCCTGATAAAAGAACTCTCATGGACTCTCCCTAGGTTGCAACAGACCTGGGGGTTTCCCTAGGTGCCTTTTCACTGAAGCGCACACTGGGCAACCAGTCATGAAATGTTCAATATCCTTTTTCATGCATATCCCCCAAAATTGCAGCTTCACCAAATGGAGTGTCTTCACACAGACAAAATGACTTGAAGTTCTGGTATCTTGACTTCATTGAAGAACTAGGGTCCACTTAAGAGGTTGACAGGGTTTGAGCTTGGAGCCCCATTTTGTCTTTAACAGGTTCATAATCAGCAATGCAATCTGGGCAAAAGCAAGGATGAATTCCCTATAGAAGTTTGCGAATCTGAGGAAGCTTTGCAGTTGCTTCCTTGTGCAGGGAGCCTTCCACCCCAGGACTGCGCATACTTTTTCTGGGTTCATTTCTACGTCTTCCTGGGAGATCCAATATTGCAAATTATTAGACATCTCTGCTGATGGTTGAAAAAAGTTCAGAGTTAGTAACCCAAAAATGAACTCTGTAATATTTGAACCATTCTATGGTCAATAGTTTTTGCGTAGTTCAAAGTCCAGGAAGCATTCCAAGGATCACTAGCTAGAAACAGGCCAGCTATCTGTTGTCTAAGTGAGAAAAAAGAAAACTTGCCTAAGTCAATTTTTAACATTAAAAGTAGGAAGAGAAGGGAGGGATAGAATTAGTTTAATGTAAGTTAAACTTCTATCATAATCTCCACACATGCTCAAAAGAGGCAGAGCTGACGTCGCGACGAAACAGTGTGGTTTTCACAGGGCTCTGTGAAATCTGCCAAATTCTGCCTTCCAGGAGGCCCTAAGGGGCCAAAGTCATCTCGGAGGGGTGATGAAGATAGAAGGGAAACTCTGTTGATCACAAGGAGACTGCAATCTCTTTTTATCTGGAGAAGCCTTTGAAACCAGCGGGAGAAAAAGATGGCCATTAAGACTAGACGGAGGCTGTGACAGCTCAACTGAAGAAGCAAAGAAGAGACAATTTAAGAACAGTATAGCTGAACTGGATGACATTTTTCCAACTTCTGTTGAGGAATTTACCCCTGAAACAACTTTTAGTGAAAGTCAAAGTCAAGAGAGGAGAAGGTGGAGTTTTCTCTCACTCCTCAAGGATAACAGCAATTAAAACGGTGAGCTGCTGGCAAATCCGGAAAAGAGAGAATTGCTTGAGAGAATAAACTTTAAAGCTAAAAGAAAACTGGACTGATTGCTTTAGCAACTTTAACTGAGATTAAAAAAATACTAGAATACATTCAAAATGAAACTGATCTTTGGAACTTTTTTTAAAAAAAGAATGAAAAGAAGATCTTGAAATAGAAACAGAGAAATAGAGTAAGGGTGACATCTACTGGTGAGGAAAGACACCAAGGAAGTGAAAGTGAAAAGTGAATTGACCTTGAAGGTCTACTGCTGATAAAATTGTTACTCTTACAAAGAACACCTGCAAATTGCTTACTTTGGACATTTGGAAACATTCTTATAACCAATATCTTGAAACTTTTTGAACACTGTAGCTCTCCGAACCTTAGTGGATTATAAATATGCTGAGCCGTTTGAAGCTGGAGAACAACATGGATTTATTCTGAGACTAAATGGATTCTTGGATTTGCAAGGCACTGCGGTTTACAAAACACTGGGGATTTGGTGGGCCTCTGGATTACAAATATTATTTGTCAAAAGAAGAAGAAACAGCAGCTGTTGTTAAAGAAACTCTTTGGATTAATTTACAGACTGACTCTGGATTATAATAGTAAAGAACTGTGAAGTTGGCTGGCAATTGGGAAAAAAGAAAATGACTTTTTGGTGAATTTCTTTGGATAATATCTTAAAAATGGGAAGAGGAGCTAGCTGGGGATTTTGGATTATTTTGTTATTATTTTGAATTATTGTTGTTTATCCTTTTTAAATTTACTAATAAGAGTTTAAAATGACAAGTACTCAAAATCTAACTAAAATTAGCGGGAAAATACATCTGGACCATCAGCATCCAGGGCCATCAAATCAAAGATCAATAAGATAGTCTGATTCAACAATTCAAATAGAGATGTAGTCAATGTTTCAATCGCTACAAGAGTCATTGGCAAGAAAGCATGAGATAAAGAATAAGATGGGAGAGATGAAGAAAAAAATACAAAAGATGGTTGAAAAAATAGAGAATTTTCAGCAGATAGTAGTCAAAAATGGACAAAAGATTAAGATAATAAAAGAGAAATTAGAAGCAGAGAAAAAGGTGGATGAGATGAACCAAAGACTGACCTAGTCAAAGAGTTAGAGGGAACAATAATTGCTTTAGAAATGGAGAAGGCTGAATATTTCCTGAGATTCCAGAATATGGATGAAGAAAAGGGGGGAAATCTTGCTGATATTGTTGGCAGATGCCTTGGAAATAAGCATAATTATTAATTATGTCTGCAAAATATAGCCAGAAATGAATTTACTCCTGCTATGTGCTTTATCAGTACTTTGAATAGAAAGGGGGAAAGCAAATAGAATGCTGTTTTGCACTCTTCATGGGAATCCACAGGCATCTGTTGTTTTTAAACCTGAGCATCACTCAGGCAGCCTATGGTGAAGATATAAAGCAGGGCATCAGCAGCAGCAGCAGCATACTGATGACATCTCCGCTGGATGACCTCACCCAGGGGCTTCATATAGGTGTTAAATAGAAGAGTAAACAATACAGAGCCCTGAGGCACCTGGCAAAGGAGAAGCTGCTAGCTGGATCTCCTTCCTCCATGAACACTAACTGGAACGAACCTGGAGGAAGAAAGAAAACCAACAAAACACCATACTGTCCACCCCCAAATCCCAGAGCCCTGTCCTAATATATAATTTAATTTAAAACATTTATATAGCCCCCCCCCATCTTATAACCAACAATGGGCAGTTCCCAATTATTATGGCTTGTCACAGAGTCAGCCAGATGTTTAAACTGGATTTGGCATTTACTCATCCAGTCCTTCCCAAGGACCTGGGAAAGGCAGATGTGGATGTCTGAGGATATTAAAGGTATCGACACAGGATGTAAGCTGGTCCAGGTAAAGCTATCTTTTTCAATTGATTGGTGAATAATTTGTCAATGCCAATTGTGTTCAAGTGGTGCTCCAGTTGTTTTGGAATTGCACCTAAGGCGCCTACTATTATTGGTATTATCTTTGTGTTCCTTTGCCACAGTCATTCTATCTCTAATCGCATTTTGTATTTTGTTATCTTCTCCATTCCTCCTCTTCTATTCTGCTATTCCAGGTACTGCCACATCCATTATCGAAACTTTTTTGTCTTTCTTATTGACAATTGTTAAGTCTGGCAAGCTTCTTCATTTTCTATGAATTTCTCTATTTTATGTTTAAACAGTTCTTGCTTGCAGGCAAATGGTATTTCTTGTCAATTTTTCCATGCACCATTGTTGTTCCTTTGTCATGCTGTTGTTTGTAATCAGTCTATGTGACCTTGTAGCAGCTAAGTGGCCCACTGTTTCTTCAGCTTCTTTGCAGAGGCAGCATTTGCTATCTATTATTGCTTTCTCAATTCTGGCTTTGTATGCATTTATTCTTAAGACTTGGTCATGTGCACGCAGAATTAGGCCACATGTCTCTTTCTTCATTTTTTCTCTTCTTAACCATTGCCAGGTCTTATTCTTTGTTTTCCTGTTCCTGTTTTTACTGGCCAGGCAATGCTTTGTCTTTCCATGTCTCCTTTCTGTCCATCTTGTAGACCTGTTGTTATTGTTGTTATGGTTCGTTGCACAGTCATCCAGTCAAACTGGATTTGGCATTTTTGTCTATC